TGCCAGACAGGCGTCAGGTCCGAGCATCTCTTCATGGCAATACTGAGCACCTAACGCCTTCCACCGAGGAGAGATGTTAGTGCCTTCTTAGTTACGCTACTTGGGAAGTTTGAATGATGGAACTTAGTCATTTTGCTTGTCTGCCCTGAATCAGATTTATGTCTCTAATTTAGTCTTCTGGGTCTCTGAAACCAGAAGAGTTCTGAGCCTCAGAACTTTGAGTCTAGCTTATAAGGAAGAGTAAAATGCAGTTGTCTCCTCGCCATGGCCTGGTCACTAATAATGAGAACTGCATGTGAGGTCTGAGCTAGTCAGAGGGTTGTAGGGTTGGGGTTTGATTTTCTGCAGAGTAAGGTGAAAAGATCCAGTCAGTGGGGGAGGAGCCAAGGTCCAGGCAGCTCACAGGGGACACCTCAACCTGTATTTCTTTCCAGCAGACACTCACTTTTTGAAACTCGTGGGTTTGACTCCCTGCCATTGCCTCTTACCGAGCAGTAGGCAGTGGCAGGGAGGAAAGGGCCCAGTGACTTGGTGAGCAGGGATAAGATGAAACAGTATCAACTGAAAACTCCAAACTGAGGTGTTAGAACTTCATTGGAGTATGGAGGATGAAAAGACATCAAATAAAGACAAGACTGAGTCCAGAGGAACCCAGGTCAAGGTTAAGGGACAAGGTGAGCTGTGGACCAGATACGGGGTAGAGAAGCAGCTTCCTATGACCGGAAATAAGTGATAGGGTGGAGAGACGACGAGAGAGCAGCTGCTCCACCCGAGACGGGTACAGCCAAGCGGGGTGAGTTCTAAGTCTCACTGCCAGAGCCGGCAAGTCCCAAGGCTGGCCACGTGTGGAGACTGCCTGGGCTGCACTGCCTTCCGTTGCCCAGCCTGGAGCCTGGCTGTCAGACCTGAGGTGTCGCACACCACTTGGGGACAGTGGTGTGACTTCTGACAGATACGTAGGTGGTGCTAAGGGCGGGAGTATGGCTTCTTCACTTGGGAAATGCTTTTTATTACAAAGGGCTTATGATGGGGTTGTTGTGCTTGCTGAGACCCACATGGAAATTATCACTTCTTTGGTGCAATAATGCCTTCCAGTTGGGCCTGAAAAACAGAAACAAACTCTCATTAATATTTGAAACATGCAGCCTAACACAAATAGCTGAGAGGTGACAAAAGTCTCCTGGAAGAATGATCCAAATGCTGCCACTCCAATTATTTTTCCCCTTCATTCCCAACTCCATGTTTTCTGGATTAGCTGGTTTCTGGCTTGGCATTCAGTCTTGCTGCATTAGGAGAAATCAGAGCTGGCCTGCTTTCCATACAATAGCTGCTCAGTGTATAATATAAGGCATTGAAAAGGAAATTGAATAAAAGTTGTTGAAATAGTGGTTTTTTTCATGGCTCACATTTCAGGCCTGAATACTTCTGCTAAGTTAAACATTTGGCTCTCTCGTTTGGGAGCCTGGGAGCTCTGTGCTGGGACAAGAGGTTTGGGAAACAGCAAATTTTCAGCCACTGAGACAACTTGCCACCCAATTAGAGAAAATTGCTACCGGTGAGTAGGGAGCTGTCCATCTTGTATGTGAAGCTTCAGACGCTTGGGAGTTACTTACTCTGCTCCTGTGGCAGCCAGAAAAATAATTCACTATCATAGTGTGTGGACAGACCTTTAAGTAGGTCTATGCTGGGGACTGCAAACAGTGCTTTATTTGGAGTGCAGCTTTGAGCCAATAAAAATAACTCACTTCTAAAGAGTCCTTTGCCCCGGGGATAACAAGGTTGCTTGTAAATGTTAGAAGCCAAGGTATTCTGCTTTGCTCTTGCCGCCAATACCATAGGAGGCACTGGGGAAATTGGGCTTATGATGAAAGAATATGGCAGATAAGGGAGGCAGCCTCAGAGACTGCTAAGTAAACAGATTCACATCTGGCTGCGAAAGTTTGTTTTGTTCAACTTGCCAAGGAGAAAATCTGTCATCCTCCACTAGCAATTAACACAAGCCCTTCTTTATCTCAAATGCTTGGCCTTCTTGGCTTGTAGCACCCACAAGCCTGCCAATCGCAAGAATGTAAGCTTCTGTGAAACTAGGGAGGAGAGGGAGATACATCCAGGGGCCCCTCCGAGCCAGGGCCATGGGAGACAGACATTATACACTAATAGGCCATTTGTCTAGAGCAGTGGTTCTCAAACTTTAGCAAGGATCAGAATCACCTGGCTTGCTGACCCCCAACCCCAAAGTTTCTGGTTGATTGGGCAGCTCTGGACCGGGCCCAACGATTTGTATTTCTAAAAGCTGTGGTGATGAGGATGATGCTGTCTGGAGCCCAACCTCTGAGAACCTCTCGACCAGACAGACAGCCTGGAGTTTCAGAGGCCTGGCCCCCTGCCCAGCCCTTTTCACTAGTCCCCCTCCCTCCCTTCAGCTCAGTCGGATTAAAGTATACTGTCAGCAAAAGGGCTTTGATGAAAAACACCTACACCTGAGTTCTCTGATCATGTACCAGGAGAAGTTTCATGATTTGAATTGGTTCTTCCCTCTCAAAGGGCCTTCCCTTACCCCCCACCCTCCCAAATGCGGTGCCTCCTCTCTAGGCAACTGCAATAGGAAAGCACACCCACTAAACCCACTGGAGAGACCCAGCCCCCTCTGAGGAGGCTCCGAAATGCCAGCTGCCACAGGACAGAAGTTCCACCTTTGACATACCCACCTCTCCCAGACGATAGGCAACTTTTACCCAAGGGGAAACAAAAGTCCACAGGAGAGCCAGGCTGAGGAGTCACGGGGGTTCAGAGGTGAGAACAGAACCCGTCTCCAGAACAAGATGGACAGAAAATCTGTGTTCTGATCCCTCATCTCTCCCCAAAAGAGCTTCCTTGACTCCTTGGCAGTATTGAAAGTCAGTGTAGGACAAAATGCTTGGGCTGCTCTGCTTGGCTAGCAAGGGCAGGGGCAGGGGCTGGGGCTGGGGCTGGGGGCACTCCACCTGGGCCGGTGCAACGATTACCTTCAGCTGCTGATTCGTCCGCTTCAGGAACTGTATCTCCTCGTTGTGCTTCTTCTCCTCCACCTGTCTCCTCTCACTCTCCCGCTTCTCAACAGCCTCACATTTTGCCTTCTGCTCGTTCACTTGCCTCTCCAGATCTCGCTTTTCCGTTTCTAACTCTGCAATCTGCGGACGGAAGCCCCAGTCATCCTGCGACGTCGCCAAGTGGATGGGGCGGTGTGAGTCCCTGGGTGGAGGGGACCTGGGACACAGCTGCCCGACCCAGGGCATTGCCGGGGTCTGTACTGCCACCCAGTGGGAGGCCAGTGACTGGCAGGGCTTGTCCAAGGGGAGACAGTTGTGTCACCCCAGGACCGGCTGTGACACTGAACCAAAGGGTCCTTGCTGAGGTGATGGGAGAGCACCCTTGGAGGCCAGAGTTGGGTGCTGGCATGACAGGCTGTGGCACCGAGGTGGACAGAAGAGTCGCAGAGGCTCGGGGGGCTCCTGGTGAACCCACTCACTTTCCTCTCCATGTCTGACTTCCCCTGCTCGGCCTGCAGTGCTTTCCTCATGCCGAACGCCACGCTGCTCTCGTACAGGGTCTGGTAGGCGGCGATGGTCATGCGGATCTCGTCCCGCACCCGCAGCAGCAGCAGCCCCCGCTCCGCACAGTTGATGGTGACCTCGCGGATCAGCTCATCTGCCAAGGTGCACACAGCAAGGTGGGAGAAAGCAGGCGGGAGAGGAAATGCCAACCGTCCTACTGCAAACCGCCTTCCTGCCGGGAAGGGCAGTACGGTGTGTCCTCCTCACTTGCAGACAGGCAGGTCTCGGGGGCCCTGTCATGACTTCTCTGAACTCGGCACTCGGGAGCACAGGCCATCAGCAGGCCTGGCTTGGCCAGGGCAAACGGAGACAAGAGCTCTGTGTGTCTACAGCCAGAGGGCTCTTCTGGTCCACTCTTAGAGACTGGGTACTATTCAAAGCAGTCTGACTTTTTCGATATAAAGATGGTGGCTGTTTTAAAACAGTTGGGAAATCCTCTGTGCCCACTTGGCTGGACTGGTTTGGGGCTGGAAACATCTCCTCCATAAATGCTGACGGGGAGCACAAGCCAGAATCACCCTCAAACTGAAGTGAACCTGCCAGCCCCCCGGCAGCAGGGTTTGGACGTGCTCTGCGTGTCCAAATCCACGTGGGCCAGTGAGACTTGACTGAGGGCCAGTCATCTGACACCAGCACCCAAGGAGGGAGATCTCAAATCTCTGGGTCTGGGGACTTCCCTGGTGGTCCAGTGGTTAAGACTCCATGCTCCCAACGCAGGGAGCCTGGGTTCGATCCTTGGTTAGGGAACTAAGATCCCACATGCCACACAGTATGGGCTAAAAAACAAAACAAAAAGTCCCTGGGTCTGTTGAGTCACAATGAATCATCCTGAAATACTTTTCTGGACCAAGGCCTGATGTTGATAAGTGGATATAAATATAGAACATGAAATTTTTCTGATTAAAAAATTGATCTCTGTTTATTATAGAAACCTTTGAAAAGAACCAAATGGAAGGGGTCCCATGGAGGTGGGAAGTTCTCACCTTACTCCAAGCAGTTGCTGAGGGGTGAGGACCCAAGTCATCAGGAATACGGTGACTGACAAGGTGGGGACCGGTAGGAGAGATGGGCAGGAGGGGGAAGACGGTGCTGGGTGGGGTAGGCGGGGGCAGACAGACATTCTGGGATGGGATGGGCTCAGCCTGGGGGGACTCAGGGCCTGGGTCTCTACTGAAGGGAAGGGAAGGGGGCAGTGAGGGCTGTGTAGCCTCCCTCTGGGACCACTCACCAAAACACTGCGAGTACAGCTCCCGGCGCACTGGGCAGATGCCAGTCTCCCGGGCCTGCCGCTGCTGCAGCTTCAGGTCCAGCTGCTCCTGGAGGTGCACCACGTCCATCCTGGTGCTGGGGGTGCTGGACACCTGCTGGATCCATAGCTGCGTGTCCTCCACCCACTCCCTGCGGGATAGACACAGCCAGGCTGAGCCAGCCCCATTCACCACACAAGGTCCTCAGGACCTGAGCAGAGGTGGCCCTTGGCACTCTCTGCCTGAGAGGAGGGAGGGGCAGCTCTATCCCTGACCCCCCGGAGTCCTCCATCTCTCTCTTCCTTGAAGAGGGTGTGGCTCCAAAGCCACACCCACGGTGCTACCTCCATAGGGCCCCTACCTTGGGGCTGGGCAGTCTTCATTCTCCCACAATCCTCTGTGAAGTCATCACCCACGTTCCAGATCTCCCACTCCTAACACGCTGAGCACAGATTTATGGTGGATGTTGCTTGATCTGAATGGGAGGCCCAGCGGCAATACCCACTGACTTGGGGGGTAGGAGACACAGGAGACCATAAGCCTTGTGTCATCAAAAAGAGGTGAAGGTATGAATTGGGGGGAGGGGTGTACCTATATGGACGCCCATAGTGAACCTTGTATCAGAGACCCAGCCAGGTTCTGGAATCACAAGGGGCAGTCTGAGGGCAGAGTCACCTTGAGGGAGAGGATTCCATGCATTGTTGAGAGGGAAGCAAGTGAAAATCACCCTCAGAACTTCTATCACCTTATTACAGAAAAATAGTTGAAAAGGATGTCTGCGATCAATGTGGCTGCAGAAGAAAGAAGCAAGGTAAGAAGAAGGGAGCTCTCCTTTTATTTATTTATTTTTTTAATTTTTGTTTATTTTGTTTTATTATTTATTATTTATTTTTATATTTATTATATATTTATTATCTATATTTTTATTTATATTTTATGTTTTATTTTATTTTTATTTATTTATTTATTTTATTTATATATTTTTTTGGGGGGAGCTCTCCTTTTATAAAGGAGTCTGCAGGTTTCCTTGAGGAGAAGACATTTGAGCAAGACTTGAGTGAAGGAACAAGGGAATCGGGAGGATATCAGGGGAAGAGGATCCCTGGTGGTGAGAAGGTCCTATGGTGGGAAAGTCATTGATGTGTTTCAGAAACAGCAAGCAGAGGCTTTTATGGCATTAGCCCCATGAACTAGGAAGAGAATAACCAGAGAGACGATCTCGGATGCCTCAGGGGCCAGGTTGTGCCAGGTCTTCTGGGTTGTTGTAAGGACTTTGGATTTCAGTCTGAGTGAGATGGGACAGTCTGACTTGTGATTTTGGGGTTGCGTGGGAAATAGATTGTAGGGTCAGAGAGTGGAAGCAGAATTTTCAGGTAGGAGGTCATCGCAGTAATGCAGGTGACAGAGACTAGGAATAAGATGGTGGCAGCAGAGTGAAAAGCAGTCAGATTTGGAAAGTAATTTGAAGGTAGAGGCAAAAGGAGAAAGGGGTGGCAGAAGATAAGATGGTTAGATAGCATCACTGACTCAGTGGACATGAATCTGAGCAAACTCCGGGAGATAGTGGAGGACGGAGGAGCCTGGCGTGCTACAGTCCATGAGGTTACAAAGAATCAGATATGACTTAGTGTCTGAAAACAAGAACAATGGAGACAAGAGAATGTGATGAAGGGCAGGACATGTGACTGGAGAGATCAAAGGGAATGAAAATTTGCCTGATCCCCTAGTGGAAAGGAGAAGACTGAGAATGAGCTGGTTAGGGGAAGAAAGACATTGTGATTTAATTTGAACATGTTGAGTTTGAGATGTTCCTTGGACATCTTCATGAAGGTAACGAGTAAGTAGCAGAATATATACGTTTGGAGTTTAGAGGGGAGGACAAGGCTGCAAAAAGACCCATGGGAACCATTAGTATACAGATGATATTTAAAGCCATGAGCCTGGGTGAGAGCACTCAGGAAATGATGGCAAATAGAGAAGAGGTCTCCCTGGACCCTCCCAGGATCTAGCCATCTGCAAGTTCTAGAAACTCTGGGATGTTGGGAAGAAATCTCAGTCAGAAACAGAGTCAGGGTGCCTCCTCTCACATTCCCAAGTTCCGGGAAGCAAAAGCCTGGGCCTCCTCCTAGCCACTACTTGTTTACCTTGGGGGCAGGATGGCATTCAAGATTTCTTCTGCTTGCTTTGTAGGATCTGGGACACAGGAAGTTGAGGGGAGCTTGGTCTTGGGTGGCTGTGGGACGGGACCCGAGGGTCCAGGTTGCTGAGGGCTGACTTTCAGTGGCCGAGCCTGAGAAGGAGGGACAAGTTGGGGTAGGAGGCGACTCAGACACTCAGCTCCACACTCCCTGGGCCCCTGGATTGCTCCAGGTTTCCTGCACATCCCTCCCCTAACCCCAGCTCACTTTTCCCCATCTGTCCTCTCAGCAGAAGTTATGTTTCAGAGCTGAAGGAGGCCATGCAGCATCTATGGTTCCACCCCAACCCAATGCTTGCATCTCCTTGAACAGATGTTTCTGGTCCAGCTGCTCAGGCCTCTGCTCTAGTGATGGGGCATCACTATCAGATCTATTCTGGGACCCTGCGACCCTAAAAAGACTTGTCACATCGCCCTGTGACTTTCTTCCCCATACTAATCTGCCCTTTGGGATCACCCAGCACTTGGTCTTCTTTGGCCTCTCTCCTCAGGTTCCAGTTCCCTTTACTCCCAGTGACTGCAGCCTCTGTCCCTCTGGACTCCCGACTTCAGCGCAGCCCCTGTCTTACCCCAACGGAGTTTCGTGCTCCCCCACCCTCTGAGACTCGTCCTTACTTTGGGGCTCCGTTTCTCAGTATTCCGGCTCACCAACACCGGGGTGTCATACTTAAGCAGAGAGTCCGCTGGGGGAATCATGGTGGCGGCGCGAGTAGCAGCCCAGCAGCCGCCCTCCAGTCAGGGCCTTGTTTGCCGTCGCCATGGAAACCTCCGCTCCGCCCTCATGGCCTGGGCGGGGCTTCGGGGTGGGGCCCGCAGCGCGCGAGTTCAAACTCTGCCTTCGCAGAAAGTTTTCCAATGCTTAGACCGCCTGCTCAACAGGGTGCCTCGGTACCCTTGGAAGCAGGGAGAAAAACATCAATTCTGAATCCCTGGGCTGCGTCTAGCTCTCAATTTGAAATAGATGCTTACCACCTTCGTTGACCCTCCATTTTGTCATCTGCAAAATGGGGAGTCGTGCGTCTGACTCCTTAGCGAAGGGTTGGGAAAGATTCCCAGTGGAAGGCATCTGAAGTTCCCACGTTATAAAAGGTATTTGTTTTTAATTAAATGGAGAAATGACAACATATCAGACAGTGCAGGAACAGAGAGGAAATGCTAATGATTTGCCCACGGGCTACCATCTGTGATTGCATTTTCTTCCTCTTTCCTTGGTGTTTCCAAACGTAAATGTAATCACAATCTGTGCACAGTTTTGTTTAACAAGTCAGGTTTTTTTCCATTTGTCATATAGTCTGTAAATAGCAAACTGCAATTCAAATGGGCTTCTCCGGTGGCGGTAAAGAATCTTCCTGCAGTGTCGGACACTTTCACTTTTCTTGTAAATAGCATTGCGAATGGCGACATAGTATCTTTCCTACCGCTAGGAGTGCAGGTTGTCTCTGTTTAGTAATTACTAGTTAAACATCCTTGAAAGTGAGTGAAGTTAAAGTCGCTGAGTCGTGTAGCCGGGCCAGGCTCCTCTGTCCATGGAATTCTCCAGGATACTGGCTGGAGTATCCAGAATAGTGGAGTGGGTAGCCGTTCCCTTCTCCAAAGGATCTTCCCAACCCAGGCATCGAACCCAGGTCTTCCTCATTGTAGGCAGATTCTTTACCGTCTGAGCCACCAGGGAAGCCGTCCTCGGGAGCAGTTTTCCCTAAGTTTGCTTTTGAAACTTGAATCTCCCGCCTCTCGAGACGGGTCACTAAGGCCTCGCCCACTCCGGAATCTTGTCACGTTATCTCCGCTGTAAAGGCTTCTGGGAGAGCGCTCAGCCGGAAGCGGAAGTCCTGGAGGCAAGTCCGTCATTTCCTTTGGGACAGGAGGGCAACGGAGTTATTTTTCTTGGCTCCGCAGATCTCTCGGCATGAAGGAGGTGAAGAGCGAGCGGGAGCGGGGGAATCGGCGAAGGCACCGGGACGGGGACGTGGTGGGGATAGCGCCGGCGGTAGTGGTGAAGCAGGAGCGACTCAGCCCGGAGTCCGCGCCTCCGGTCCACCGCCGTCCGGATTCCGCCGGCGGTAGCCCGTCCCCACCGGCCGGCGAGTCGGGCCGCCCAAGTCACCGCGGGAACCGAGCCCGAGGAGGTAGCCGGTAAGTGGGAAGCATCTCGGGGTGAGTCTTAGATAGGGTTCATTGAGAAGGGAGAACAGGGCTAGCACCAGAAACACACCTTAACGCGGCAGCTTGGACTTAATCCTAAAGCGATAGAAGTGATCAGCTGTGCTTGTGTGGAAGAATGTTTACTCCGGTACCTAGCACTTGGGTTGCAGCTGGACGTTAAGCGCTCAATGCCTGCTGCGCAGTCTCTCGCCTCTTCATTTCTGTGTACCCAGCATTTCACCGAGTATGGTCCAGTTGATAGCAGTGATAATTTAAGTTGAAAGATTTCCCCCATCTGCCTGCAAATGGAGTGCAGGCGTTATCTTTTCAATTATCTGTCCCAAGAAGTTTACATATCGAGGGCTTAGGCAATCTACCTGATTTTATTGCGGGGGGGAGAATGTCTCTTGATAGACACCTTCATTTATTCATTCATTCGACGTAGTTTTACTGAGTATCTATTATGTGCTAAAGACCGTTCTAGGTTATAAAATAATGTGGGAAAATATACAACATTTAAAAAAATACATACAAAGGTATATGTGGAATTTGACTTAAAATAGTGTAGAATTATATGCAGAAATATTATGGTGAAAATGGTGGGGGGTTGGGGAAGAAGAGAGTCCTAGGTTCTGGGGCTGCAAGGGTGAACTTAGATGGTCTGCCTCTAGATGGTGCTCCTAGATGGTGCTGTAGCCCTGAGACAAAATAACAAGCAAATTTGGAAAAGTAGTCTCAGTTAGTAACAAGTATTTGGGGGTAGGTTAATGTGATAGTGAGAGAGTGGAGGGAGGTGGTTTTCCCTGAGTTGCTGTCTGACTTATTTGACCTAAGACCTGAATGATAGGAATAATCTGCCTTGTTGAAGATCTAGGCAGAGGGAACAACCCATACACAGAACCTGACGTGGAATTAATTGTGTTCTTCTAGAAAAGGGGGTGAGAGGGGAAATCCAGTGTAGTAATCAAGGAGAGTGGTAAGAATGACATTGGTGAGTGAGGAGATAGAGCCAGAGACTTTGCTGATAGATTATGATTGTGTGGGGAAGGAGCATGGAGGGCTGTTGATCGAGGGGAGAAAAATAATCAAGGGTGACTCCTAAGTTTTTTGCCTGAGGAACAGGGTGGATGGTGGCACTAATTACCCAGCTGGCAGAAAACAGAGGAAAGTGGCTTGAGTGGTTGGAAATCCACAGTTGTTATCTAAGTGAGAAGTTCTAGTAGGCAGTTATGTATGTGGAAGACATAGGACCAGAAAAGTGAAGCTCCTGATCCTTTTAGTGTGATCAGCAAAGACTTAACACAGACATGGTGTTTGTGGGTATGCCTGACACTTGGAGCTGTTTTGTATGAGGGAATGAAAGTTGAGATAAATGTGTGTACCATTTTCTGAACAGGTCCCCAGCCAAAAAGAAAAACAAATCCTCAGGAAGAAGGAGCAAGTCTCCCCGGAGTAAGAGAAGCCGAAGTCCTCATCACTCAGCAATCAAAGTAAAGCAGGTAAGTGGATTGAGATGTTTTCATATTGGCTCCAAAGCTAGAGCCTCTCCATCGTAGCTAAAGTGTTATGTATGTGTTTTCCTGTACCTGCAACGGGCTTCTCCAAAAACTGGGCTTTTTTTTTTTTTTCCTTTTTTGTTCTTTCTTTGTTAAACTTTTTATTTTGAGATAATTGTTGATTCACATGCAGTTGTAAAAGGTAATACAAAAGTGACTGTTTGTCCCAATGGTAACATCTTACAGAATTATAGAACAATATCACAACCAAAATGTTGACATCAATTCTGTCAGGATATAAAACATTCCATCACCACAAGGATTCCTCAAGTCATTCTTTTATATCACACCCAGTTCCCTCCCACCCTCACCCCTCCACCTCCTGGCAGCTTCTAATCACTTCTCCATTTCTGTAATTTTGTTTCTTTAAGAATGCTATGACAATAGAATTGCACAGTATGTAGCCTTTCTGGATTGGCTTTTTCCACTCAGCTAAATTCTTTTGGAGTTCATTTATATTGTTGCTTCTGTCTGTAGTTCCTTCCTTTTTATTGCTGAATGGTATTCAGTTGTATGGATTTAACCATTTGCCCATTAAAGTATATCTGGGTTGTTAGCAGTTTTTGGCTATAAGACTGCTGTGTACGCATTTCTTTACAGGTTTTTGTGTGAACATAAGTTTTCGTTTCTCTGGGATAGATGCCCAGGAGTGCACTTTCTAGATGGTATGGTAGTTGTGTTTTGTTTTTTTCCCTAAGAAATTGTTTTCCAGAGTGCTATGTTAGTTTGCCAGGTCTTCCATAACAAAATACCATAGACTGGTTGCCTTAAGTAGTAGAAACTATAATTTTGACACAGTTCTAGAGGCTAGAAGTCAGAGATCAAAGTTTCAGCAGTTTGGTTTCTCCTGAGGCCTTTCTCCTTGGCTTGCCTTCTCTGTTGGGTCCTCACAGTCTTTCCCTCTGTGCGCTCCCATCTCTGACTCACATCTTCTTTAACCACATCAGCTATATTGGATTAGGGGCTTACTCATTTTAACTCAATCAGTTCTTCAAAGACCTTACCTGCAAAAAGTCTGGTTACAGTCTGAGATGTGGGGGTTGAGACTTCAGTATATAAATTTGAAGGGGGCACAATTCAGTCCTTACAGTGGCTGTCCCTTTTTATAATGTGAGTGATCTAGCATTTGGTATTGTGACCATTTTGACTATCTGACAAATATGATAGTGATACTACAACTTTAATTTGCATGTCCCTGGTGGCTAACGATGTTGAGCATCTTTTCATGTGTTTATTTGCCATCTGTATTTCCTCTTGGGTAAAATGTCTCTTCATATCTTTTGCCTATTTTCTAGTTGGATTGTTTTGGTTTTGTTTTACTATCGAGTTTTAAGAATTCTTTTTTTTGTAATATATTCTTAGATACCAGGCCTTTTGGAGTGAGAGGTTTTAATATTTTCTTTCCATCTGTATGTTGTCTGTTTATTCTCTTAAAAGAGTTTTCCTCAGAGCAAAAGTTTTTGATTTGTTTGGAGTCCAGCTTGTCTGTTTTTCCTCTTACAGATTATGCTTTTGGTGTTATGTCTAAGAACGTCTCTGGCCCTAGAACGTGAAGATATGTTTTTTTTTAATGTTCGTTTAAGTCCATGATCTTTTTTGAGTTTGTTTTAATATAAGGCAGGAGCCTTAAATCGAATTTCCTTTTTCACCCATTGATATCCATTTACTCCAGCACTAGGTGTTGAAAGGACTATTTTTCCTCCCTTTAATTGCTTTTGCTTCCTTTGTAAAAAATCAAAAGTAGTGTGTGCCTTTATTTCTGGGTCCTCTGTTCTGTGTCATTGATCTGTCATTCTGCCAGTACCACAGTCTTGATTACTGTAGCTATATAATAAGTCTTAAAATTGGACAGACTGATTCTTTCACTTTCTTCTTTTTAAAACTTGTTAGGACTTCCCTGGCAGGCCAGTGGTTAAGACTTTGAGGCACAGGTTTGATCCCTACTGGGAGGAACTAAGATGGCACATGCCACAGGACATGGCCAAATAAATAAATAATTGTTTTAGGAATTCTCGTTCCTTCATCTTTCCATATACATTTTAGAACAATCTTGTTTATATCTATAAAGAAAAACTTGCTAGGATTTTGATTGAAATTGTGTTAAACTTGTACTTTTTGAGAATTTTTAAAAAATTATATAGTCTTCCCATCTTTGAATATAGATGTGTTTCTCTTTATTTAGATCTTTGATTTCTTTCATCAGTGTTTCAGTGTACAAGTCCTGTATGCATTTTGTTAGCTTTACACTTAAGTAATTTTTTTTAAGTTATCATTAAGTGATATTTTGAATTTCAGCATTTACTCGTTCATTGCTAGTACATAGAAATATGATCGATTTTTGTATGTTTATCTTATATCCTATGACCTTACTGAACTCATTTATTTTACCTAAATAAATCCCAGCCTAAAACTTGGGATTTCCTACATAGATAATCATACCTGCAGAGAGACAGTTTTGTTTGCCTTCCTTTACAGTGTAAATTCATTTTATCTCCTCTTGCCGCGTGGCTGGGACTCGAGCACTGAGTGGAGTAAGAGTAGTAAGAGCAGACACTTCCGCCGCGTCCTCAGTCCTGATGGCCGGGCGTTCAGTCATCGTCTTGTTCTTTCTCCTTGACGTTGTATTTAATTTTTGACAGTTCTTGGTCTTCGTTGCTGCGTGTGGGCTTTCTCTAGTTGCGGTGAGCAGAGGCTATGCTCTGGTTGTGTGCAGGCTTAGTTGACTTGTGGCATGTGGAATCTTCCCGGACCAGGGATCAAACCCGTGTTCCCTGCATTGGCAGGTGGATTCTTAACCACTGGACCACCAGGGAAGTCCTCAGTCTTCTTTTTAAAGAGCCTCTGGGTTACAAAGTGCAAATAGAAACACTGCCATTAAGAAATGGATTTTCCTATGAATTTGAGCCAACTTCCTGCTACCTAAAAAGATTCAAAGCCAGTCTTGATGATCTGTTGTATGAGTTGGTCAGCCATCACCTTCATTATCTCAGAATTTAGCCACTGGAACCACAATACCCAGATTAAACCTCTCAAACCACTTGTAGCTGTGTGTGTGTGTGTGTGTGTACAGCTTGCCACTGTTGTGATTTAATAATTTTGGCATGTTAACATTTTGTAGATTTAAAAGGTACAGTATATAGCCTGTTAGTTGGATACATTGATATATTGTAATATGACTGCCATGGAAGCAGTATTTACCAAGTTAGATCATTATAGAGTAGTGTTACTGTCTATATTCATTTTTCTGGGCATTAGATCTCTGTCTAAGGCTTATTTGCTATTCGTTACTGTTAGTGCCCTTAAATACCATCAGTCTATCCTCCCGCCTCCCATCTCCAGTGACCACCGTTTTCCTCCCTGACTGTTTATATATATGGGAGATAGATATAAAGGAGCACCCCTGGAGGCTCAGACAGCAGACATCTGCCTGCGGTGTAGGAGACCTAGGTTTTATCCCTGGGTCAGGAAGATCCCCTGGAGAAAGGTGTGTGTGTGAGACTTTTTTCAGCTTGCAGTTTTTTACCTCTGGTTTCTAAACCAGCAACTTAGAGTAAATCCCGGGGCCTATCATATAGAACTGTTTTGTGATTATTGTTACTTTGGAATGGCTTAGTTTGCCTATCTATGCCAACTTCCCTCCTGACCTCAAATAATCTATTAAAAAGCTGATTTCGTTGTATCAGCTAGAAACTTGTAAATGGCTCTCAAGCAGAGGGGATTGAGGACTTGACAGGCAGTTGAAAATCAGTGACTTTTACCTGGATTGTAAGAGCACACAGCCTCTGACTTGTACTTAGAGATAATCTTTTCTGCACTATTCAGCCACCATTAAAAAAAAAAAGTTCAACACAGAGTTATATTCAATATAATTTAATAACCTAATATGGAAAATAATTTGAAAAAGAATGTGTATATGTGTGTAACTGAATCAATGAATACAACATTGTAAATCAACTATACTTCGATTTTTTTTTTAAAGGAGGTAGGGGACAGGATTGTGGAAACCCGAGGAAAAAATTTATCAATTGCTTATTCATCATCATAACACAGAAGTCTCTAAAATAAAAAGTGAGAGTATGGTTTACATTGTATATGGTTACTTCTCTCATTAGCCCCAGAATCACACCCCTCCCCATGAACCAAAAAAAACCACCTCAGTCCCCAGGGGTCACCTTTTTAATAGTTTGGTATTTAGCGTTCTGTAATGCTTATGTTCTCTTCTTTTCTTTTATATTTTGGTGTGTGTGTGTATTCTGTGCAAAGATGTTAATTAACAAAAAGAATCATATTGTATCTGTTATACTACTTGACTTATCAATAGTTGAGAGTGTATGTTGAAATCTTAGTTATTTTGTGTTGTCTGGTTATGTAATTTGTCATATTCTCTCCAAAGCTTCTACTGACTTTTTCCTAGTATACATACATGTACTGGGAACGAAGACAGAATTGCCTATTGGATTTAGCAATATGTAGGTCATTGGTGACCTTGACCAGCAATTTTAGTGGAGTAGTAAGGGTGAAGCCTAATTGGAGAATTCAAAAAAAGATGGAAAAAGAATTGGAGACTGATTAAAACCAAAGTTTTTTAAGGAATTTTACTCAGACAGTGAAGAGAGAGAGTGGAAGCCAGCATGGGAAACGGGCTTTGGGAAGAGCAGATGCCCGTGCTGACAGGGCTGGTCCAGTGCAGACCAGGAAAGGGGACTGTGCAAGGGGGGCAGGGGTCACTGCAGCGATGCTCTGGGTGTGAGGGGAGCTCCCCAGTGTGGGGACTGGCTTCAGATAGAAGCACAGAGAATGCGCAAACTACCGCACAACTGCACTCATCTCACACGCTAGTAAAGTAATGCTTAAAATTCTCCAAGCCAGGCTTCAGCAATACGTGAACCATGAACTTTCAGATGTTCAAGCTGGATTTAAAAAAGGCAGAGGAACCAGAGATCAAATTGCCAGCATCCGCTGCATCATCGAAAAAGCAAGAGAGTTCCAGAAAAACATTTATTTCTGCTTTATTGACTATGTCAAAGCCTTTGATTGTGGATCACAATAAACTGTGGAAAATTCTGAAAGAGATGGGCATACCAGACCACCTGACCTGCCTCTTGAGAAATCTGTATGCAGGTCAGGAAGCAACAGTTAGAACTGGACACGGACCAACAGTCTGGTTCCAAATAGGACAAGGAGTATGTCAAGGCTGTATATTGTCACCCTGCTTATTTAACTTATATGTAGAGTACATCTTGAGAAATGCTGGGCTGGAGGAAGCACAAGCTGGAATCAAGATTGCCGGGAGAAATATCAACCTCAGATATGCAGATGACACCACCCTTATGGCAGAAAGTGAGGAAGAACTAAAGAACCTCTTGATGAAAGTGAAAGAGGAGAGTGAAAAAGTTGGCTTAAAGCTCAGCATTCAGAAAACTAAGATCATGGCATCCGGTCCCATCACTTCATGGCAGATAGATGGGGAAACAGTGGCTGACTTTATTTTTCTGGGTTCCAAAATCACTGCAGATGGTGATTGCTGCAGTGAAATTAAAAGACGCTTGCTCCTTGGAAGGATAGTTATGACCAACCTAGGCAGCATATTAAAAAGCAGAGACATTACTTTGCCAACAAAGGCCCATCTAGTCAAGGCTATGGTTTTTCTAGTGGTCGTGTATGGATGTGAGTGTTGGACTATAAAGAAGGCTGAGCGCCGAAGAGTTGATGCTTTTGAACTGTGGTGTTGGAGAAGACTCTTGAGAGTTCCTTGAACTGCAAGGAGATCCAACCAGTCCATCCTAAAGGAGATCAGTCCTGGGTGTTCATTGGAAGGACTGATGTTGAAGCTGAAACTCCAGTACTTTGGCCACCTCATGCGAAGAGCTGACTCATTGGAAAAGACCCTGATGCTGGGAAAGATTGAGGGCAGGAGGAGAAGGGGACGACAGAGGATGAGATGGTTGGATGGCATCATCGACTCAATGGACATGGGTTTGGGTAGACTCTGGAAGTTGGTGATGGACAGGGAGGCCTGGCGTGCTGCGGTTCATGAGGCAGTTGCAAAGAGTCGGACACAACTGAGTGACTGAACTGAACCGAGAAGCACACATAGTTTCCTTATGGGCACAGGAAGGGAAACAGTATCTGGGTGTAGATAGTGGTAAGGGGGCAGACATAGAAAACCCCTTCTGAGTAAATAAGAGATGTAGAGGACCATGTAGGATGAGAGAGAAGGGGTGAAACCGTCATCTGGGAGGAGGACTAGATCAAGAAAATGCAGGATGGTTGCTGGGCATCATTAAGGAGGCTTAGGTCATGCTTCTGAGGTGGGACCAAGGTGGGACCCGTCAGAATGGCTTGTGCTTCTCTCTTGCCACTTTGATGTGCTAGATGCTGGTTGTGGTTTTGCCAGAACAGTGCGACAAGAATGGCATTGGACGTGATTGAGGGAGTGATCATACCGCTTGACCCTGGAATTTCAGCTAGAAGGGAAGGGAAGAGAGCACATCAAGAGAGTGAGGGACTGTGCAGAGGTAAGAGGATCAAAGGCTTGGATGAGTCTTACTGGCATGATTGTTAGAGCTGGGTAAAACGTGAGCTGGAAAGATGGGCAGAAAGAGGACGGCTTGAAATTGAAAGTATAGAGGGGCTGCAGTTATTAGAAGTGAAAAGGTCTGTTGTAACTGTGAGGTGAGTGCCTGAGGAGAAAGGAGGTGGCAGATAAGATAACGGGGAGAGAGCAACGCGAAGAATGGAGAGGCGAGCGTGGCACTGAAATCAGCAGGGGCAGTGCTTTAGAGAGCGACAAGCTGGAAGTGAGACTGTGACGTGAAGGGGCGTGATTTAGGGTTGGCAAATGACAGCAACAGTGAGAGTGATGGCTGACAGTGGTCTTACATGAGATTCACTGCTGCATCTTTTCAGGGAGAAAGAAGAGGTGTGGGGAGTGTTCTAGAATTGGCAGTGAGAGGAAAGGGCATTGCTGCCGTATGTCCAGGCTTGAAGATGCTGGGAGCTGAGGGGAGGTTGGAAGGAGAAAACCAGCTCCTTTGAGAGAGCTGGGGGGGAGCAGAGACGGGAACTATCTGAGAAGACGTGGAGGATGTAGGCTGGTTTTGCCAAGCTTCCCATTTCCGGAGGAAATAGAAAGTACAGTGGCTTTAGGAATTGAAAAAGGGTGGAATTTGGGGACAGAATCCTTCATATACAGAGCCTTATGGGAATTAGAGTACAAGGAGGGTGGAGGTGATGGCCTGGAGTCTGTGACTTCTTACAGTGACTCATTTAATCAGGGATAAAGGGCATAATGAGATTAGTTCTGGTAAACTCAAGGCAGATGGTGGTGGCAAGCTTGTGACTGTCTTGGGGTAGGAGGGATGGGTGTCTGAGGCTCCCTTCCTCTTGGTACTTGTCTTTGGAGGTTAGGAAGTGTAGGAAAACTGGGTCCAGCTCTGAGCAAGCAGACCCCTACTTGACCTCTATGGTTGGTAAGGAGAAGGCCTTGAGGCAGGGGCTAGGGATGAGGGAAGTGGGGGCAAGGTCCCAGTCCTGATGCTCGGGATTTCTTCTCCACCTCTTCCCAGGAGGGGAGCCTCACTTCATAGTGGCAGGGCTCACTCTTGAACTCTGATACTTTAGCTATAAGATTAGTAAGGATAAACCTATCTTCACGTGTTCATTAAATATTTATTAATACTTCTTCTGAAGATTGCTTGTTACTATCCTTTGCCCATTATCTCTACTAGGCTGATTTTCAGTACTGTTTTTAAAGAAGCCTTGGTATGTTTCTTCATTTCTTCAAATCTTTAAAAACTATATCTGTTACAGTTGACCCTTGGACAACATGGGTTTGAGTTGCACTGGTCCACTTATATGCAGGTTGTTTTCAGTAGTAGAGGCTGCAGTACTCCGTGTCCCTAGTTGGTTGAATTTGCGGGTGCAGACCCTCAAATACAGAGGGACCACGCATACAGATCGCCGACTACAGCTGCCTGGAGGGTCAGTTCCCCTGTGCCCCAGCTGCAGTGAATTTTTACAGGTTTCTTCTTATATAATTCTTAATTTTATTCCTAGGTATTGAGTAATCTTTGTTACTGTTGAAATAAGATCTTTCAAAATTATTATTAATACATTTTTATTTCTGGCATAAGAGAAAGGTAGCTTTTTTCTTTATGTAGTTATCTTGTATGTGACTACTTAATTCTCTTTGAGAGTTGTGTTTTCCCTAAATTTGCCTGTAGCTATTCTTGTTTCTCAGGCTCTGAACATGGGTGTGCACTGTTAGAGCTATATTTGGGCAGCAGCCTGGGGTACCTTGGAGAAGGAGATGGCAACCCACTCCAGTATTCTTGCCTGGGAAATCTCATGGACAGAGGAGCCTGGCAGGCTACAGTCTGGGATCGCAAAGAGTCGGACACAACTGAGTGGCTAGCACTTTGGGTGTTGGCCTTGCAAGGGAACATGGTCACCACCGGTAACCTTATTTCTGTGGGACATTTTGCTCTGAACACCAAATCACAAATGACTTCTTGAATGCAGCTCTGTTTAGAGACCGTGAACTGCCTTTAGTTTCCTGAATCTGTTTGAATTTCAGGAACGTGAGGACCATCCTCGGAGAGGCCGGGAGGATCGGCCACACCGAGAACCGTCAGGACAGGAACACAAGCGAGCTCGGAACAGTGACCGAGACAGGCACCGCAGCCATTCCCACCAGAGGAGGAGCTCGGGCGAGAGGCCTGGCAGCGGGCAGCCTCAGGGACGTGATCGAGATGCTCAGAACCTGCAGGCTCAGGAAGCCGAGCGGGAGTTTCACAACACCCGGCGCCGCGAGCACCGCCAGAAGAATGAAGTTAGTGCTGGCAGTAACGCGTCTCAGGACGCACTGCCTCGGCCTGGACCTGGAGGCAACAGCAAGGACAAAGAGGTGCCTGTTAAAGAGAAGCCAAGCTTCGAACTTTCTGGGGCACTTCTTGAGGACACTAACACCTTTCGGGGTGTAGTTATTAAATACAGTGAGCCCCCGGAAGCACGTATCCCCAAAAAACGGTGGCGTCTCTACCCCTTTAAAAACGATGAAGTACTTCCAGTGATGTACATCCACCGACAGAGCGCTTACCTCCTGGGCCGGCACCGCCGCATCGCAGACATTCCCATCGATCACCCCTCCTGCTCAAAGCAGCACGCCGTCTTTCAGTACCGGTAAGTGTCCATCTGCGGAGGAAACCAAGGTGCCAGCAGAAGCCCGCCGTCTTGGCTAGTTAGGATTACTGAGATCTGTGCACGTGTGTGCACAAGAAGCCCATATCCCTCATACCTAATAGTATTTTTTTAATTTTTATTTTTTTGGCTGAACCTGCATGGTTTATGGGATTTTAGTTCCCCATCCGGGGATCAAAACCAGGCCCTTGTCAGTGAGATCGTGGAGTTCTAACCCCTGGACCGGCAGGGAATTCCTTCTAATATTAGTCTTAAGGAGTATTATTCCTCTAATGTACAATCACTTTATATAAATAATTGCCAACACTTGTATAAGAGGATTGAAGTTGATGTCCGAAATCCCGATTTTGAATCCTGCCAATGCCACTTACCTGGGGCCACTTACCACAATGCCACTTACCGCTCTTCTGGGCCTCAGTTTCTACATCCCTCTCAGGGCTGTTATGATAGGTAAATGGAAATAAAGCTGAGAATGGAAATAAAGCTGAGAATGCTTGGCATATGTTAGCCGAATCTCTCTTGGCAGTTTCTGTAGTACATCTGTTTTTGTTGGATGCTCACAACAATCCTGTGGGGAGGCGAGGACTAGTATTAATACCCCATTTAACAGATGAGACGACGAAGCTCAGCAAAGCCAGGTGGCCTGCCTAATAAATAATCACTGAGGTAGCATCTGGCTCAAATTGGTTTCGATCTGAACAATTTTGATCGTCTTATCTGTCCCCTTGACTCCAAAGTCCAAATACATTGGTTTATTCCTATTGGGACAGAAGCTAAAATATGTTGAAATACAGGTAAAAGAAGCATTATGTTGATTATTAACAATACAAAAAATGTCAAATTTTTAAAAATACAAAAAAAAAAAAGTATTTCTTAACCATGGCAAGAGGCTTTGGATTCTGCATTTTAAGCTTTGGTCTACCATGAATCCCTTCCTCCCAGTGACCAGTTCTCACCGATTTAACTTGCTCCCAATTTCAAAGTCCATGACTGTGTCTTCCCATTGATTTCTACAGTTTGAACTTGAACTGAGTCTAAGCCAGGTATTTACATTGTTCAGACTGTTAGCAAAGAGCTGGAGGATCTGAGGCTGGATTTCCCTCACAGATTTCTCTACTTTACCTCCACTAGGCTTGTGGAGTATACCCGTGCTGATGGGACAGTTGGCCGCAGGGTAAAGCCCTACATCATTGACCTTGGCTCAGGCAACGGAACATTCCTGAACAACAAGCGAATTGAGCCACAGAGATACTATGAACTGAAGGAAAAGGATGTCCTTAAGTTTGGGTTCAGCAGTAGAGAGTATGTTCTGCTCCACGAGTCCTCTGACACCTCTGAAGTAGACAGGAAAGAAGACGAGGATGACGAGGAAGAGGAGGAGGTGTCTGACAGCTAGCAAACTGAAAACAACCCAGACTCTCGAGAGACCTTTTCTTTGTGTGAAGGCTTTGGGACTGACTCACGGGGCACCGCTGTGCTCTCTGTAATGCCTCCTACTGCCTTAAGTCTTTCTTCTGTTGCTGACCAGCTTATGTTTTAGTGTATGTAAAAAAAAAATGACTTAGGTTAGGTTGACCTTTCTGTGACACATTGGCCACATGCCTGTGGGCATTTGTTTTCCGAACAGTGTCACCGACACATCGTGTTTTAGTAGAAGCATCATGGCTTGAGTTGGTGCTTTCAGAACTGCTGCCGAGGAAACTATAAACCCTTGGTTAGGGGGGAATTGTGGCTTCTTTTCTTTGTACAGTTACTTTATTTATATAGTTGTTAAGCTTTGTGGACCGGGTTGTTTTTATCTTGGGGGCAAACCCCTGAACAGAGAATCTTACTAAGCTTTGGTTATCACCAAAATAGCCTCCAGAATATACCAAAGCTTTGACCTGGTTGAGCTCTTGAGTCATAGAAATTGATTTTGCACTTGGTTGGTTTGGGTGGGTGGGTGGGATTTACCACATGACCTCATTATTGACTGTTGGACTCAAACAGATACTTTATGGAGCCTGCTTCAGCTCACAACTGTACAGGAGGACCGTGGCCACTGCCAGCGGGTGCTGACTGCATGTCACAGGAGGCCGAAATGGGTCGTGGATCTGTTTCCTGGGAGACAACTCTGACTTCTCCATGGAACATGTACAGAACAATTTTGATCATCGTAGCTGTTCTTCAACTTCACGTTTTTATTTAGAGGTTATCTCCATTCTTTCTTCTTTGAGAGAAGGAGTCATTTATGTAGCAGGGTCTTTGCTTTATCCTAACAACATAATGTCAAAAGACGGTTGTGTGGTTTACATGTTTCATCTTTTTAAAACAACATTCAGAGAGGTTGTATTTACCTTCCAAGGCTGGAAAGTATGGGAATTGCCCAGTTTTCTCATTTTCCACCAGAGGACTATGTGTAAGTAGAAAAGTCACAACTGCTTACATCTGTTGTGTGATGTATATATGTACATATTTAAAAAATTGTGTGAAAGAGCCGCATACTGATTTTCCTATGAGAATGTTTTGTGACGTAAATGTAATACAATATTATAGGCAAAGGCCTCCCTGCATTTGAGGAGCAGGTTTTCATTTATATGTATTTTTGGAATAAAAAATAATAAAATTTGTAAATATAGCCCCCTTTCAAAATGTACTTCTTTGCTCGCACAGAAGACCTGGTGTTAACAGGTGTATTCTGGTGCTAAGGACATCTCTGAGTCAGTATTGTGGAGTAGAAGTTGAGAGTTGTGGAGGGTGTTGTGAGAGTGATAGGGCCCACACCTGCCGTGGAATCCAGATCTTCACATCTCAGCGACTTGAGTGGTGGTCCTGATGAAGCAGTAGCGCTTTCTGAGTTGGCAGTGGAGGGCTTTTCCTTCCCAGAAGAGTCAGAGTTGGGGCAGGTTATCCGTCGTGGGCCTTCTACCGGCTGACACCTATCCCTGCTTCCTCACCCTCAGGTGGTGATGCGGGTGTGAGATGGGAAGGAGAGATGATGCAAGTCAGTCAGTGGAGCTGCTAGCTGGTCCTCTTGGGTGGAAGCTAATGATCTTACTGGGCTTCTCTGGTGGCTCAGTGGTAAAAGACTCCACCAGCCAATGCAGGGAACTCGGATTCCATCCCTGGGATGGGAAGATCACCTGTAGAAGGAAGTGGCAACCCACTCAAGTATTCTTGCCTAGAAAATCCCATGGACAGAGGAGCCTGGCAGACTGTAGAGTCCATGGGGTTGCAAAAGAGTCGGGACACAAGTGACTTAGTGACTAGACAACATTAACGTTAGCTGATCTTGCTTACCATTGTATTTCCATTGAGGTCTCATACCTGTATGTACTCAACATTAAATGTTGACTAGTACCTAGTGTGGGGAGGAGCAGCTGACTAATTTTATTTAAAAGAAATGAAAAGATCCCCTTTGGGGACTTCCCTGGCAGTCCAATGGTTAGGACTCTCCTGTCCACTACAGGGAGTACATGTTCTATCCCTTGTGGGGGAACTAAGATCCCACATTGTTGTTCAGTCACCAAGTCATGTCCAATTATTTGTAAACCCATGGACTGCAGCACTGCAGGCCTCCCTGTCCCTCAACATCTGGAGTTGGCCCCAGTTCATGCCCATTGAATCAGTGATGCCGTCCAGTCATTTCACCCTCTGTCTCCCTCTTCTTCTGCCTTCAGTCTTTCTCAGCATCAGGGTCTTTTCCAGTGAGTCGGCTCTTCACATCAGGTGGACAAAGTATTGGAGCTTCAGCCTCAGCATCAGTCCCTCCAATGAATATTCAGGATTGACTTTCTTTCGGATTGACTGGCTTGATCTTGTAGCCCAAGGGACTCTCAAGAGTCTTCCCCAGCACCATAGTTCAAAAGCATCAATTCTTTGGCACTCTGCCTTCTTTATGGTCCAACTTTCACATCCGTACATGACTACAGGAAAGACCACAGCCTTGACTATATGGACCTTTGTCAGCAAAGTGATATCTTTGCTTTTTAAACATGCTATCTAGGTTTGTCGTAACTTTTCTTCCAAGAAGCAATCATCATCTAATTTCATGGCTGCAGTCACCATCGGCAGTGATTTTATCTGTCACTGCTTCCATCTTTTCCCCTTTTAATTGCCATGAAGTGATGGGATTGAATGCTGTGATCTTAGTTTTTTTAATACTGAGTTTTAAGCCCACTTTTTCACTCTTCTCTTTCACCCTCATAAAGAGGCTCTTTAGTTCCTCTTCGCTTTCTGCCATTAAAGTGTATCTGCATATCTGAGGTTGTTTATTTCTCCCAGAATCCTTGATTCTAGCTTGTAACTCATCCAGCCTGGCATTTTGCATGACGCACTCTGCATATAAGTTAAATAAACAGGGTGACAGATAAACCTTGTCCTTCTTTCTCAATTTTGAACCAGTCGGTTGTTCCACATAAGGTTCTAACTGTTGCTTCTTGACCCGCATACAGGCTTCTCAGGAGACAGGTAAGATGATCTGTCTAAGATATCTTTCTAAGATAATATCTCTTTAAGATATTTTTCCACAGTTTGTTTTGATCCACACAAAGACTTTAGTGTAGTCAATGAAACAAATGTTTTTTCTGGAATTCCCTTGCTTTCTGTATGATCCAGTGAATGCTGGCAATTTGATCTCTGGTTTCTCTGCCGTTTCTAAACCCAGCTGGGATGTCTAGAAGTTCTCTGTTCACATACTGCTAAAACCTAGCTTGAAGGATTTTGAGCATAACCTTACTAGAATGGGAAGTGAGTGCAACTGTCTAGTAGTTTGAACATTCTTTAGTACCACCCTTCTTGGGAATTGGGATGAAGATTTACCTTTTCCTGTGGCCATTGCAATCTCCAAATTTCCAGTCCAAATTTGCTGACATATTGAGTGCTGCACTTTAACAGAATCATGTAGGATTTTAAATTGCTCTGCTGGAATTTCATTGCCTCCACTAGCTCTATTGGCAGCAGTGCTTCCTAAGGTCCACTTGACTTCACATCCTGGATGTCTGGCTCTAGGTGAGTGACCACACCACTGTGGTTATCAGGGTCATTAAGATCTTTTTTGTACAGGCCCTCTGTGTATTCTTGCTCTTCTTGATCTCTTCTGCTTCTATTAGGTCTTCACCGTTTCTGTCCTTTATTGTGCCCATCTTTGCATGAAATCTAGAGATCTCCAAGAAAATTGGAGATCTCAAAGCAGCATTTCATGCAAAGATGGGCACAATAAAGATCTCACATGCCTTGGGGCAAAAACTAAAAATAAAAAGATCCCCTTTGAAGAGTGAATACTTAAGGGTTAATTAGGTAGAAGCTTACCTGAGGGAAGAAACAATGTAACAGCAATTAGCATCCTCACCCAAAGTGCTCTAATTTGGCCCGTGGATGTGCATATTAGATACGTGCAGGTCTGAAAGGTTATGTTTGGATGAGTTTTTCTCTTGATCCTGATGAATGGTTTTCTCCTCCTGGAATGAGGTACTTACCTGGCATCTCATTCCATGGCCTCCTTGTTCAGTCTGTGCAACTACTTCTGCTTCCTGGCAGCTTTTGGCTTGACTTCATGCACCATCCTGGTGGACACTGATAGATGACCACTTTGCTTATATTTTTCAATTACAGGTGCCAGTTGTATAGTTAACTTTTGCTTCCTGGATTAAGAGATGTTTCATGCCAAACATATGGGACGTTCTTTCCCCCCCATACTCACATTTTTTTTTAAAGAGAGTGAAAGAAAAAAACTACTCATCCCTGAGGCCAGGCCAGGTATCACCAAGACTTCTCATCTGAAGTTGATGAGTTAATCCTAAAGGTTTCTTTAAAAAAAGAAAAAAACCCACAACTTAGTTTTGGCTGGGTCTTAGTTTTGGCACATGGGATTTTCATTGCAGTGCCAAGTTTCTAGTGTGAGCTCAGTAACTGAGGTGCAGCATTGTGGGATCTTAGTTCCCTGACCAGGGATGGAACCCGTCACCCCTGCATTGGAGGATGGATCACCAGGGGAGGTCCTAATTCTAAAGCTTTCTTCTTGAATTAATTCATTGCTTAGAAACTCATGTTCATTTTAGCTGTTGGCAATTGCTTTACTCCCCACCCTTTCTCCACCCTGGCATCCTTGTCTGCAAGTCATAGCTGTCAAAATCAAGCCATCTGCAGAACAACTCTGTGCTTCTGAGTCCCTCCCTCAAATCCTCTGTGGTCTTTGGTTCTGCCGAGCTATGGGACAGAATCTTCAGATTTCCCCCATAAGCCTCGTTCCAATCATCTTCTAGTTTCCTCTTTCTGATGCTGATAACGGATAGCTCATCAAGTGTAACCAGTGATGTAACTTTTTTCCCCCATCGTGCAGCACAGCATGAGAGATTTTAGTTCCTTGACCAGAGATAAAACCTGTGCCTCCTACATTGGAAGGGCAGAGTCCTAACCACTGGACTGCCAGGGAATTCTCTTCCTGTATTTTTAAATACTCTTTTACTTATTTAAAAGTTTAAAAGTATTTAAATTTTAAATACTCTTATTGTATCCTGATGATAAGGGAAAGCCGAGTAATCAATTCAGATAACTGGGAAAATTTTTTTTAACTTTTTACTTTATTTTGGAGTATAGATGATTAACAATGTTGTGATTGTTTCAGGTTTTACAGCAAAGTGATTCAGTGATACATACGCATGTATCTATTTTTCCTCCCGGTTAGGTTGCCCTCCGAGATTCGAAAACTTCCCCCAGACCCGCCGGTGCGAGGGTTTCCTGGTGATTGGAAACTTCCTCTATTAGGACTCCCTTCCCGGGACGGTCTCCGTCCCTAACTATTTTGTCTCTCTTTTTACCTTTTATATTTTGTCCTACCTCCTTTCGAAGACGATGGGCTGCTTTTCTGGGTGCCTGATGTCCTCTGCTAGGGATCAGAAGTTGTTTTGTGGCATTTGCTCAGCGTTCAAATGATCTTTCAATGAATTTGTGGGGGAGAAAGTGGTCTCCCCATCCTATTCCTCCGCCATCCTAGCTCCTCCCTCGCATGTATCTAAAAAATTAAAAAAAATTTTTTTGTATTATTGTGTTAAGGTGCCACAGTATAGCTTGGTTTTTAAAGTCTTAGAAGTTATATATATATTCTTACATATAATTATGATTTTATATGGTACACACATGTTTTTTTTTGTTTTTTTTTTAAGTATTTTATTTAATTGGAGGCTAATTACTTTACAGTATTGTAGTGGTTTTTGCCATACATTGACATGAATCAGCCATGGGTGTACATGTGTTCCCCATCCTGAACCCCCCTCCCACCTCCCTCCCCATCCTACCCCTCAGGGTCATCCCAGTGCACCAGCCCAGAGCACCCTGTCTCATGCATCGAACCTGGACTGGCGATCTATTTCACATACGGTAATATACATGTTTCAATGCTATTCTCTCAAATCATCCCACCCTCGCCTTCTCCCACAGAGTCCAAAAGACTGTTCTGTACATCTGTGTCTCTTTTGCTATCTCACATATAGGGTCATCGTTACCATGTTTCTAAATTCCATATATATGCATTAGTATACTATATTGGTGCTTTTCTTTCTGACTTAGTTCACTCTGTATAATAGGCTCGAGTTTCATCCACCTCATTAGAACTGATTCAAATGTATTTTTAATGGCTGA